GTTGAAATTAATAGAGTAGAAACAAAGAAAACAATAAAAACAACCAATGTAACAAAGAGTTAGTTCTTCCAGAAAATCAACAAGACAAACATCCAAACTGACCAACAGGCAGAGAGAGAACATGCAAATTAACAAAATCAAAAATGAAAAGGGGGACATAATATTGGACACTGAGGAAATCCAGAGAATCTTCGGGTCATACTTTGAAAGCCTGTACTCCACAAAATACGAAAATTTAAAGGAAATAGACAATTTTCTGGATAGATATCACTTACCAAAATTAAATCAAGAACAGATAAGCAATATAAATAGATCTATAAAACATAGTGAAATAGAAGGACTCATCAAATGTCTCCCAACCAAAAAAGCCCAGGAACAGAAAGTTTCAGTGCAGAATTCTACCAGAAATTCAAAGGAAAATTAATACTTATTCTCATCAAAATATTCCACACAATTGAAGAAGGGTCATTGCCAAACTCTTTTTACAGTGGTACCCAAGCCGCACAAAGACACAAGAAAGAGAACTACAGACCAATATCCCTCATGAACATTGATGCAAAAATACTCAATAAAATACTGGCAAATCCAATGCAAGAACACATCAGAAAAATCATCCACCATGATCAAGTAGGCTTCATCCCAGGGATGCAGGGATGGTACAACATGCAAAAATCCATCAGTGTAATCCACCAAATAAACAAACTGAGAAAGAAAAATCACATGATCATCTCACTATATGCTGAAAAATGCTTTGAAAAAAACCCAGCACCCTTTTATGATAATGGTCTTGGAGACATCAGGGATAACAGGAATATACCTAAACATAATAAAGGCAATATACAGTAAACCAACAGCCAACATCAAACTAAATGGAGAGAAACTCAAGGTAATTCCTCTAAAATCAGGAACAAGACATGGCTGTCCACTCTCTCCATACCTCTTCAATATTGTACATGAAGTTCTAGCTAGAGCAATAAGACAACAAAAGGAGATCAAAGGGATACATATTGGAAAAGAAGAAGTAAAGCTTTCACTATTTGCAGATGAAATAATGCATAGTTACACATATGCATTATTAAAGTTATTACCTCTACAGGGAAACTCCTCTTTCCTGGAAACTTGAATCCTAGCACCCAAAAAGACAATTTTCCTTTCTTCTTTGTAAATACCACTTATGGAGTGGATTTTGCAAGAGTCATGTTAGCTTTGCGTATGCTCAACTGCCACAATGGTCTTTCATTTTTTTTTTCATGCATTATATTTTATCCTGTTAAATAATGGAACCTGTAAAACAGAAAGTTTCTAGGCCTAATCCTTGGAGTTCATAATTATTGTGGCTTGCTTGGAGCCTAGAATGTGCACCTGTCTTCCTGATCCTGCTCTCTGGGGTCAGCACTTAGAACATTTCTGAAGTTCAACTTACAGAACACCTTGAGCCTTTGTAAAGACATATACGGACCTAGGTGGTGAACTAAGTCACTAGCCAGGCCCACTTTTGGGCATGGCTAGGGGCATTACGGAGGAAGGTATAAAAGACTGAACAGCGGAAGTCCCATTCTCTTTTCCGGCTTTCCTGCTTCCGGTTCAGCAGCGGAAAACTACTTGGCTCATCTGGGTTACTTGTTTGTCTCTTGTGAGTAATTTCTACAATCATTTTGGTGTCAGAAGTCAAGGCATTGATATAAGACAGAAGAAAATAAAGTTAGGGACTGTTATTTGTGGATTTCTTTTTCTGAAAAGTCTAATTGCCTTCATGTTTACCATCTTCCCTATTGCCACCTCTTCCAGTATGCATACACATAAAATTTAAAATATTTCTTTGTTAACATTAATGTTTGAGTTTTCCAGAGAACAAGGGATTTCCTGATAGCAATCTTCAACTGCTTCAGAAAGAGAATGAGGATCCACTTCCTTGACTTCACCTGATTCGACTGGAGGCGTCTGAACTGCCCCCCATCATCGACTCCACCTGACAAGTACCATCCTGAAACTGGCTTGGAACTACATCACTTGACACAACTCTAGACCAAGGAACTGAAACAGCACATCTTCTACAATCTCGACAGAGCTTCAGATGAGAGCTTCAATCAACACTGGAACTCCATTCAGGAACTTCAATCAAGCATCTCCTACCCAGAGTCCTCCAGGACTCCTAGTCCCGCCTGTCTTGCTTCCTATTGGCCAACAGAGCCTTCTTGACATATACACAGGACTTCCCCATCAGAAATAGAATTATGTACTTTAGTTGGGGTCTGAAAGAAACCATGGATTAAGGTAAACAGAGAAAGACAATCCAAATAAGTCCAAAAGTTAGACATAGTTGCTTGGTTGGGATAAAGAAATGGTGGGTATGGGTTAAAAGTGAAAATTATCTGAACCTTCCCAAAGCAGAGACCTTGGAAAGGCCTCAGGCACCTCAGCATCCCCTTGCTCTTATGCTTGAACAGAGCAATGCTCACTGCCTCAAGCAAGATTGATCCCTTGACCCAGTTACCACAATGCCCCCTCTAACATTTACATTTCACTTACAACATTTGATTCCTTACTGTAGTGAAGCATTCTTCAAGGGACAGTGAAAAACATGAGGTACTAGAAATGGATGCCTGGCATGGATAAAATTAGTAACAGGTAGGTAAGACATAGGCAAGACATTCAGATATTTTCAATTGATGTCAAAAAGGTATCAGAGACTGATGTTAAAGGACACCACCGACAGGAAGGATCAGGTTGAGCTGTAGGATGAAGACTCCACAGATAAAGCTGAACTGAAGCTGAGCGACTGGAAGCATGAAATGATGAAATGTCTCATTTGATAACGAATATTGAATTCATTGTGCCTTTGATTTCCCCATCCATCATTTTCCCCATACACGAAGTTGGATAACAGTATGCTTCTCTTGTGTATAAGTGTATGGTATACATGTGTGTATGTATTCATGTCTGCATGTATGTGGGTATATGTGGGAGATGCATGTGTACATATTAGTATGTGTACTCCCGAGGTTGACATCAGGGGTCTTAGTCAACTACTCAGTGCATATTGATTGGGACAGTATCTCCCAGTTGAACCCAGAGTCTGTGGATTAGTATACAGTTAGTCTAGCTAATCAATTTTCCCCCTTGACTTCCTGTCTCTGCCCTCTGAGCACAGGAATTACAGGCAGGCCACTATTGAGGGGATCAAAGTCTTCAAATCTGAAATTTGAGGTACCAGTATCCTAAGACTTAATCATCCAACTGGAATTTCTTGTAGTGAATGGTGTATGATTTATTCTCTTAAACAAATGATGGCCAAAACGATATTATGTTTCAGTCACTATAATTTGTATGTGTTGTCTTAGTTTTTTTACCTCTTGCTGAAATGAAAATACCCTGGCAAAGCAGTTTCAGAAGGAGTGGGTTTATTTGGCTCACTGTTCAGAAGTCCAGTCCATTGCAGTGGGGAAGTCCTGGCAGCAGGAGCCAGTGCAGCTGGTCACAACACTCCTGCAGTCAGGAGGCAGAGAATACTGAGTGCTGGTGCTCAGGACGAATTCCCCTTTGTGTACTTTGGAAGCCCAGCCTAGGAATCAGTGCTACCCACATTAAGGTTAGTCACCTTACATCAATTAATCTCTCATGTACGTAATTTCTCAAAACATGCCCTGTGACTGGGTCTTAGTTTATTTGAGATACTGTCAAGTTAATAATGTTAACCACAGCACCATAGCGTATGCTATACATAGAAATAAAATGGTCATTAAAATTATTCATAACTCTAAAATCAATCTCTAAAATTAAAGGGAGTACAACAGGAAAGTCATTATAAGAATTTTGTGGTACCTTCTAAGAAAGGAAGTAGGGTGACAAAGTAGTCAGTTATTCTCTTAGTTCTGATCATTAACGAGGACTTAATCTCCTCTACAGACGTGTTTTAGACTGTGTACGGAGCATATTGCTAGGTAGTACTATGTAATTGCTAGTACAATTACTGAAGAATATTAATCCTTACTCTGCAAATGTGACAAGCTTCCTAGTCTCCTGTGTATGTTTTAAATAATAGTTAAACAATGTGAAATCTGTGTATTTTTGAAATAAATAATATGTAACAAGTATGTAATAAATCAATTAGTATAATATGTAACAAATGATAGTGATCTTCATATACACACCTGTGTTTAAATATTTGGTCCCTATTTGGTGGGATTTCTTGAGTAGGATTGGGCTATATGGCCTTGTTGGAAGAGTTGTGGCCTTGTTGAAGGAAGTGGGTCACTGGAAGTGAACTTTGAAGTTTCAAAAGCTCCCACCATTTCCAGTTAGTCCTCTCCTTCTGCCTCTTGGCTGTTGTCTCAACATCTAAGCTCTCAGTTACTTCTCTGGTACCATACCTGCGTTGCTGCCCAGCATAACAGACAGACTCACTTTCTGAAACTGTAAACAAGCCCCCTATTAAATAATTTCTTCTATAAGTTGCTTTGGTCATGGTGTCTCTTTGTAGCAATGAAAAAGAGACTATGGCAACTAATAAATATGTTTCCTTTTATTGAAAATAGGTTCTTTTCTCATACAATATATCCTGATTCACATACTCAGGAGTTCCATAAAAAACATTAAACTGAAAGCCATGATACATATACAGACACCTGGTACAAACCTGTGCAGGGCTGCCTTAGACTCTGAGTCCATATGACCTTCTCTCAGGTGATTTAGAGGGAGCTAACAGATTCTTAATGGAGGTTGACTGTGATGGTAGTAGAAGTAGATTTAGAAGAAGAATTTGTAGTTGTAGTCAGTGTAGAGTGTTGTATAGTTGTTTCCTTCATAACAAGCATTGATTGGAGGCCAGGTGTGCAAGTGGTAGAGGGAGGAAGTACTATTGAATTAGAGTAAAGAAAGATGACTACAAAAGACAAGGTTAGGAGTATTTTGTTCACCTGAATGGATCAGTTTGAATTTTGATTTCTTCCTCATTTGTGTGAATAATCCTGGTAACAATCCTGATTTTGCCTTTGGAGCAGGTGCAGAAGTCTTCTTCAAACAGTGTGTGACCCAGATCAACCTGAGAAATAACAAGTGGGAAGTGTCTAAGGAGACAGGCTCCCCTGAACAATTTGACCTTGTTGTCCTCACCATGCCAGCTCCGCAGATTCTGGAACTTCAAGGTGACATTGTAAATTGTGAGTACGCCTTTCTATTTACCTATTCAGGGAGCATCAGATTGGGAGAGCACAGATTTGCTCTTCTCTTTGAGAGAGAGAGAGAGATCTATTATCACTTCTACCGATGTTATGTTTTAAAATGATTATGGTTTACTTTCTGGTTAGTCTAGGTCATAATGAAACTTACACGTTTTTTGACTGGTTAGAAATTGAACAGTTCTCTTACTGCTCTTGGTTTAAAGCAACTTAGTGTTGCTTTGAGCTGTGATGTAGTGTGGCCCAAAAGAGCTGTATTGTGGTCATCCTGAAGAAAAGCTGTTCATCGTGGCTTCCTATTGGCTTGACTCAGCTCCTATCTTCTGCTCTCTGGGTTACTGCTAAGTATTTACTGCTGTTGGATGAAGTCGCTTAGCATCATTGATGAGTAGGTGGATGTAATAGAGGATACATTGTCCAGATGGTGCTAAAATTATGTTAAAAGAGCAAAGTTTATAAAAAAATCATAAAGAAATTCCCATGTTTGACTAAGAAAAGGGCAAAAAAAGCATTTTCTCCCTAAAACTCACTTTTTAAGAAGGAATTTGGAGGGCCATTGATAAGCATAATAACCCATTTTGTGAGCAAATCCAATATTTTTCTTTTATAGTTTGGTTTCTTGTGCATAGAAACTATTAAAATATTACAAAGGTTTTGTTGAAGAAAGCAAAAAAAAAATCATTGCGAACCTGGGCAATGTTGATATATTTAGCTAGGTGGTCAGTTTTTATTTGTTCATGTACCTGAGACGTGATGAGTAGGAAGTCTCCTCAGAAACCATTCTCTTCATGGGTTTGAGTCTACCCTTATGGTGCTATTTCTTTCTGCTTCCTAGGGAGGTCAACTATGAATCTCCATTTTCATAGAATCTAGATAGCAAAGTCTGTGGAGAATCAGTCACTCCCAAATCATGCAACGGTGTGTTCAGAGAGGGCCAGGAAACCAGTGTGGACTGCTTTGCCTGGAATTTACTCAAGATGGCTTTGAACTCCAGACAGTCCCTCTGATGCATGATCCTGCTACCATAATGAACTTCTCTGCTTCAGTGTGAGCCAGAGGAAACCCGGCTTCACTAAGCTTCTTTTTTCAGGTCTTTTGCCACAGCAACAATAAAAGTGACTAGTGTGGTTAGTGTATACAGAATGGTGATTTCATCCGGCAAAATGGTCAGCTATTGGCAATTTCATGTGAACCAACAAAAATGCTGTGTCTAAATATAGGAGCTGAAATAAATAAAGCAATGAGCAAGGACAGTAATTGGCCATGTGGATTTCAAGTTTTCTTAGGAAATTGCAGACTTTGAAGCCAGGCACCATGGTATCCATTTCATCTCCACACTCAGGAGTCTTAGTCAAGAGCACTGCAAACATGAGACTTGTGTGGGCTACATAGCAAGGGACTGGCATGCACATACACACACACACACACACACACACACACACACACACACACACACACACACCACTAACAACTTTAGCTTGTACATTGCTGTGCATTCCTTGTTGTTTTCTTCTTTTTTCAAGACAGCATTTCTCTGTGTAGTCTTGACTATCCTGAAACTTGCACTGTAGACCAGACTTGCCTCAAACTCAGAGATTTGCCTGCCTTTTGCTTCCCAAGTGCTGGGATAAAGGTGTGTGCAACCACTACCCGGCTCAGAGGTGTATTATTTCTGATTATAGTGGTATTCATTTTTTTCACAAATTACTGAAAAGTCTTTAATATCCAAGTCTTTCATTTTCTTCTTTTGAAACAGAATTTAAGTGTTGCAGTTGGTTTAGTGTTATTGCTCTTAGACAGCTACCTCACTTTATTCATTTTTAATATAAAATGTATAATGGCTAGAATATATGTGATGAGATTGGATTTCCTGTATTTTCCCCAAACTGTAATCTAAAAACATACAATATAGGAATGTGCTTTAAATGTAAATATCTTTTCTAGTTGGCCACTGTTATCCACCTTCATGGGTGGGTAGGGAAGATTTGATTGGCTGCATTTAGTGGTGGGAGAGACATCCATTTGAAAAGTCACATATTGTCATCTAGTGTTACAATATAATGCAGTTCCCTAGATTAGGCAAGAAAATGCCTAGAACATATGAAAACACTGTGAGTATACTGTAAACCACACATCACAAGGAAATTAATATAATCCCAAGATAACACATTAACTATGCATCCAAATCTGCAAAGATTTTATAGAAGTTAGGGTATACCAGTCCATAATTATTATCAACTGGGGACAGTGTGCTGCCTGCTTTTCTGTTTTCCTTCTCATTCTCTGTCTTTCTCTAAATCGTGTCTGTTCTATGGAGTCAATATAATACCATATTTTACCTGAAAAATTTGACTATTGTTTCAGTAAGTTATCTTTACTTATCTACTTATCTCATTTTCTATTTTGTCTTTTATAAAAGAAACAACTACTTTCTTTCATCTAGCAGTTAATAACTATTCGTTTTCCCAACTGAGAGAATAAGGGATGCTTTAAGGACCATATGATTAGCCTCTTATGATATACTGCTCTATAATGGTGTTACTTTTGCCATGTTACTATGTAACACCAATAAATGAATAAAAAAGAGACTGATACTGGGGTTTAAGCTTCAAGCTGAATATCAGAGAAGCAAAGCAGCTGGTCACTAGCTTCTTACCTCTACCTCTACCTCAGGCTGAATAGGCTGATCCGTCTCCATGAGCTCTCACCAAGCCTGAGACTGCCACCTCTCATCAGCATGGCTGGAGAATGAATGCCTCTCTGAGACCTCACTTCTGTCTTATATACTTCCCTAATTTTGGGATTAAAGGCATGAGCTATAACTCTTGTAGACTGATTCACTCTTGTGTAGATCTGGTTGGCCTTGGACTTCAGAGAGGTCCATCTATGTCTTAATCCTGAGTCCTAGGATTACAGGTGTGTATCACCACCTCCTAGCTTCTGGCTGCTGGGATTAAAGGTGTGTATCACCACTGCCTGATCTCTATAGCTTGAGGCTGACTTTGCTTTTCTGAATCCTCAGTCAAGTTTCCATAAATAATAAATCACTACATTAATATTATCAAGATCATCTCCATTCCCAAAGCAACCCTAGGCATTATTATCCTCCTCATTCTTGCTAGGAAGACTGAGATATGAGCCCCAGCATTGTGGCCAGAAGGCCAGTAGCAATGGAGTGCTGAAAGCACACCCATTGTGATGCTGTAGATACCACAGCTTTGGCACTTGTAACCCTTTTGGCATCTCCAATGCAATCCAGGTTTCACTTTCCCCGCTTCGCACAGTAGCCTCACAGGTACACCATGTGGAGACTACCCTGATACACACCTGACCTTAGTGCCTTTTTGTAACTATGGAGGAAGATCTCACAACCCCTTTACTAGTGCATCCTTAAGTCGGCATCATGTAAATGACACTGCCAAGTTAGCTACCAATTTGGGGTGAACCCCACCCCCTGACTTGGATCACATTTGTAGCAACTTTGAATTGCTATTGCTTTTAGGAGCCAGGCTGGAAGCTTAGCTGAGGGGGCTCTTGTTCTGAGGGAACCCCTCCTTTATTTAAGTGAGTATCAGGCCTCCACTTAATCTCCTTGTGCCTTTTAGCGCAAGCCTTGGCTCCAATACTACATTTTCTGGTGTTCTGTTATACTTCAGACTGTACATTTTTTATTGGTTATACCCACATAAGAAGGACTACTAATAACCACACATCTGAGTCTATATTAGGTTGTCTTTAAATATTTTTCCCCAAAAGAATTAGTTCATTGTATTTCAAGTTAGCCTCAGACAAATCATTAGAACAATGGCAGAAAGCAGCCACAGTTTGGGCCAAAATATCATAAGACTATTCTCTAGCCCAGTTGCAATATTGATCCTGTCTGAAACCTCTCCTTCTGGGCCTCTATAGTCAATGTTGCTCTAAGCACTACTGTCCTCCAAGATCCTACTCGGATGGTCCATTAAACTTTGCTTAGAATATTCAACTGTTTTTCTAGTCCCCAGTTCCTAAAGTCCTCCACATCTGTCTAAAAAACAAACAAACAAACAAACCCACACACATGAACACATGATCATGTGTGTCTTAGCAATAGCTCACACTCTGGTACCGACCTATGTCTTAGTTACTTTTTGTTTGCTCTTAACAAACCACCAATGCCCAGACTACTTAAATGGGTTTAGCATTTCAGAGTATTAGGATCCATGATGCCAGAGCAAAGGCATAGTGGCAGGAAGAGATGATAGCTAAAGTCTTGATCTGCAAGTAAGAGGTATCGAGAAAACATACTGGAAATGATGTGATGAAACATCAAAGCCCGCCCCCATGTTACACCTCCTTCAACAAGACCACACCTCCTAATCCCTTCCTAACAGTCCCACCAACCGGGAAGCAAATATTTAAACTATGTGTCTAAGGGAACAGCTCAATTCATTCACCACAATCAGAGATCTTGCATGAACTGTTTGTTCCTTCTTTTATCTTTATTGTCTGTTCTTCATACTCAGTATTCCACCTTCCACCTAGTCAGTTCTATCAGTGAGCTTTCTTACTGAGCCTTTTTATTCAATTGAGATTTTCACTTCCAAAATTCCAATTTTAGTTTTTCAGTATCTGTTTCTTTTTTCATTCTTTATCATATTCTGTATTGCGTTTGTCATTTTGTTTAATTATTCTCATTCATTTTGAAATTAATGAGTTTATTCTCATCCTATTGGACTTTATTCTTTGAATTCTTTGATGCTATATCCAATTAACTCTTGTTGGATGTTAAGAGAAGCTTTTCCTTGAGAGGAGCCTTCCCGCCCGCCTGGTTCCAGATCCGCATCAGTCCCAAATAAACACACAGGAGGCTATATTAATTATGAAGCTGTTGGCCTTGCTTGTTTCTTCCTGGCTAGCTCTGCTTTAAGTAATTACCCCATAATTGTTAATCTAAGTATGTTTCTTACCGGAGAGGTTTCCGGGCTTCCTACCGCAATGGC